GAGGACTCGGAGCAGGCAACGGATGTTCATGACAGCTTCTATTCATTGGTTGCTAGGAAACCAGGCCGCCGGAGTCCTAGCAACCAATTTTGCATCCCCGGCCCCATTCAGCTGCTGGCTGGGAGATTCCCCATCCGGCAGCTGAATGTAAACCAAGGGGGCGGGGTTTCTGGCTGATATCATTACCCAAATATGGCCACGGGGAATTATGTCAGCCGGCACCCCCCCCTTCTTGTTTACATTTAATCATTTTGATGTTGAGGTCCGCCTCACTAGTCGGTGCCAGATGAGGAACTCTGAAAACCAAGTTCCCCATCAGGTCCGCTCTGCTGCTGATTGACAGAAGGTTGTAGGGGGGGTGACACAGCAGGCTGGCTACGTCACCTGACCACAACCTGCTGTCCATCGGCAGCGGAGCGGACCTGATGGGGAACTGTTTTCAGAATTCCCCATCTGGCACCGAGGGTGGAGCCTGATGGGGGAATTCTGAAAACGGAGTTCCCCATCAGGTCCACCCTGGTGTTGACGGCAGTAAGTGGGCAGGTGCCATAGCCAACAGCAGGCCGAGTATGGCGCCTACCCGTGGCCAGCTGTCGATGGGGAACTCGGATCTCTGCATTCCCGCCGCCGGCATCGCTAAAGCCAACAGCATCCGGAATGACCAGTGACGTACAGTGGGTGGAGCCTAATGAGGAATTCTGAAACCGGAGTTCCCCATCAGGTCCACCCTGGTGTTGACAGCAGGCATAGTCGATAGCAGGCTGGCTATTGCACCCGCCCACGGCCTGCTGTCAATTAGCAGCAGAGCGGACCCGATGGGGAACTCCGTTTCCAGAATATCCTCATTAGGCTCCACCCGCTGTCCGTCACTGGTCATTCCGGACGCTGTTGGCTTTAGCGATGCCGACAGTGGGCCGAACCTAATTGGGAATGCAGAGATCCGAGTTCCCCATCGACAGCTGGCCATAGGTAGGTGCCATGCTCGGCCTGCTGTTGGCTATGGCACCTGCCCACTCCCTGCTATCCAACAGCAGAGCGGACCTGATGGGGAACCCAGTTTTTAGAATTCCCCATCAGGCTCCACCCACTGCGGCATCACTGGTAGTTAAGGACGCTGTTACCCAACTGCTTCCTTGTGAGCATCCCCCCCTTGTTGACATTTAATTCTCTTGGTGTTGAGTGGGCGGAGTCCGATGAGGAATTCAGAGATCATAGTTCCCCATCAGGTCCACTCTGGTGTTGATTGACAGCAGGGCGTGGGCAGGTGCCATAGTGAGCCTGCTGTTGGCACCTGCCCGCTGTCAATCAACAGCCGAGAGGACCTGATGGGGAACTCTGTTCTCTGAATCACTCAACAAGGGGGTCTGAATCAGGCTCCGCCCACTCAACAAGGGGTTGGTTGCTGGCTGAAAACATTATCCGTACGGCCCAACATTCAGAAAGATTCGCCGGGCGAATGGCTCCGCTTATTCAATCGATGGCTTTTCTCTCTTTTCTCCTTCAGGCCGAGGTGATCGACGGAGCCTACAACCTGGTTGTGGACGCCATCTTCGGCTTCAGCTTCCAGGGCGCCGTGCGGGAGCCTTTCGGGACCATCCTGAGCACCTTAAAACGGATCACCATACCGATCGCCAGCGTGGACATCCCATCAGGTACGACCCGCCGCCATCTTGACACTTAAGAAAGTCAGTCCGTCCCTCCATTGCCTGCACAAGGGGGAGCGGAGGAAGGGATTACGTGGGCCGCAGCCTTCCTTTTTAGTTCCAACCGTCACTTACTGTACGTATACGTTTTTGTCCTCCTGCAGGGTGGAACGTGGAGAAAGGAAACCCGGACGGCATCCAACCCGACATGCTCATCTCCCTGACCGCCCCCAAACAATCGGCCGCGCACTTCTCCGGGCGCTACCACTACCTGGGGGGCCGCTTTGTGCCCAAGTCGCTGGAGAAGAAGTATAAGCTGAATCTCCCCCCGTACCCGGAGACCGAGTGCGTCCGCAAACTGCCGTGACCGGTCCCCCGCCCTAGAGGAACCGGAGCACTTCCTGCCTACGGGAGGACACCGGGAGCTCGGCGTGGTGGGGACAGTTCTACCGCTGTGATGGTGAGCGCAGAATGAGGGGCGTCCTTGCTGCTCCGCTACAGCAGACGTTTGTGTTTAATATTACATTTGGGGCCCTTTGCAGGGTGACATGTGAATAAAGGATTTAGTTTTGTGGACGTCAGTGCGGTCTCATGTGTAGGTCAGGAAGGGTTGGCCGTCATAGGTCAGTTCACCGAGACCCATGGGCAGATCATGGTTGGCCATAATAGGTCAGCTCACCGAGACCCATGGGCAGATCATGGTTGGCCATAATAGGTCAGCTCACCGAGACCCATGGGCAACCATTTCACTGTCGGATCAGGAGGAGGCGGATGGAGAGTGACACAGGAAGCGGCATTGCTGGCAGTAATATTATACTCTGTGAATGATCGCCCGATGCGTTACAATTAGGGATGCACCGATACTAGTATCGGTGCCGATATCGAGTATTTGGGTGAATACTCGCACTCGCCCAAATGCTCCGATACCTAGCACGAGTACTTCCTGTATCAGGAAGCCGGGCAACGCATCATTACAACCTGCCCGGTTTCCTGATTGGCCAAGAAACGGCTCCATGCTATGGGTGAATACTCGCACTCGCCCAAATGCTCCGATACCTAGCACGAGTACTTCCTGTATCAGGAAGCCGGGCAGCGCATCATTACACGCTGCCCGGTTTCCTGATTGGCCGGGAAACAGCTCCGTGCTCTCTCGTCACTTGCGATGAGAGAGCATGGAGCCGCCTTCTCGGCCAATCGGGAAGCCGAGTAGCGTGCAATGATGCGCTGCCTGGCTTCCCGATTGGTCAGGAAGCTAGCAAATCCGCGCGCCGTGTAATGACGCAGCGCCCGGCGTCATTGCTCCCTCGTCATCTCACGAATCGTAATATTAAGAAAGTGACCTTAAAGCATTAGTTTGTATTGCTTTAGAAAAAAATGTGACCTGTCCCTTTAAGAAAAAGTATCGGTAATTGGTATCTGCGAGTACTTGATCAAAAGTATCGGCACTCAAAAGTGGTATCGGTGCATCCCTAGTTGCTACCCCCCAGGTATGTCCACAAGCACCTGCACTTTAGCTATCCCTACAGTGCTCGGTTTGTTCTTGTGCAGGATGTGGGCTGAATGAGAAAAAGAGGCAATTCCAACTCCTCCTCCTCCCCCCCCCCCCCTGCAGAACAGCGTGGATGGAGAACTCGCCACTGCCAGCCCTTGTGTTCAGCATGTACAGGACCCGTGGCTGCCAGAACACAGTGGCGCTGCTGAACAGTGACTGCACCTGATAGAACACAGTCACTGTTCTGTCAATTTTGCACCCGGCACCCCCCTCACCCGCCCCCCCCCATTTGTATTTTGATCAATTCGGCAGGAAGCCGGGCTGGCCTCATTTGAAACAGAATGAGAACCTCAGTTCCCTGCTAGAGGTAATGTACACACTTCTCCGGGGGCCTCTGTGTCTCCTACCTCCCCCCTCTGCAGCCTCCGTCTTCAGCATTGGACACCTCCAGGATTGTTGGGGGCGGTATGTGCCCCACGGTTCCTTCCTCCGACCCCGTGTCTCCTACCTCCCCCCTCTGCAGCCTCCGTCTGCAGCATTGGACACCCCCGTCATTGTTGGAGGGCTATGGTTCCTTCCTCCGACCCCGTGTCTCCTACCTCCCCCCTCTGCAGCCTCCGTCTGCAGCATTGGACACCTCCAGGATTGTTGGGGGCGGTATGTGCCCCTCGGTGTGCTATGGTTCCTTCCTCCGACCCCGCGTGTCTCCTACCTCCCCCTCTGCAGTCTTCAGCATTGGACACCTCCAGGAGTGTTGGAGGGCTATGTTCCCCCTCGGTGTGCTATGGTTCCTTCCTCTGACCCCTAAGTCATATAGTGACTTGTGTTGGAGGAAGGAACTATGACACACGGGGGGGAGCAGGTATCTGATACCCCCGGAAGTGTCCAATGCTGCAAAGGCTCTTGGAGGGGAGGTAGGAGGCAGGGACCACCAAGAGACTGCTACTTCTATTGCAAGCAACTGGCATTCTCATTGGTTTAGAGACCCGACAACGTCTGTAAATTGAAACCCGAATGGATCGAGTTCCGCCCTAGATTCTGGCAAAATGTTCAAATGGTTCCATAATCCATCCAAGCTGAACAAGGTACAATAATGACATTTCAGGGTCGGCCATCATTTTATTTTTTCATCCTATTACACATCATTTACATATACAGGTCACGTATGTTCTCCTTTAGACCGGCGTGCTCTTATATTCAGCCAATGAGGCAACGTTTGGTGTATGTATATATATATACACACACACACACACACACACACACACACACACACACACACACAACTACCTTGCAAAAGTATCCCACCCATGTGACTTCCCAGAATTCCCTGCTTAGAGGTCTGCACAGCGTTGATGCAACAATACAGCCATCCCCTGCAGCAGGCGTCTCCCGTCTTTGGAGAGATGAATTCGAGACGGTGACGGAGCTGAACCCGCTCTTAATAAAACCATGAAGTGCTTATAGCAGGGGTAGCAAAACTCCGGCTGTGGGGGTGGAACTACAAATCCCACGAGGCATTGCAAGATTCTCACAGCCACGATTCCCGGAGAGAGATGCATCATGGGATTTGTAGTTTCACCCACAGCTGGGGGGGGCGGAGGTTTGCTACCCCCAGGCTTATAGCATGCGGACCCACTAAAATGAGTAGCAAGAACGGGGCGGTTCCCACGTGGGGCTTCTTTGTGTGTGTTGGCCCGAACAATAAAGCTTTATTGAAATGCTGAGGTCCTCAATGTGCGGTGGCTTCTTTTGCTGGGGAATACATTTGAGGAGCGTGGGCGATCTTCACCTAATGCCAGCACCTGAGCGTCCAGACACCAACCAGTCCTTCTAGGCCAGTGGTGGCGAACCTTGGCACTCCAGCTGTGCCAAAACTACAAATCCCAACATGCATCTGCCTCTGGGAGCTATGTCTGTGGCTGTCAGAGCCTTGCAATGCCTCATGGGACTTGTAGTTCCAAAACAGCTGGAGTGCCAAGGTTCGCCACCACTGTTCTAGGCTTTCTGCTACTCCTCCAAATGAGCAGGCAGTTTTTAGAAAGGGCCCCAACATGACCTGCGACCATCGTTCTAGAGGCAAGAACCGCAATGAGATCCTTGCAATGTGCAAAAAGGTGCCCAGAGTGGACTTCTCCTATGCAGACTACTCCTTCCTCTTTTTCTTACTCTTGCTCCTGTGTTCAGCGCCTTCTACAGCTTGTTCCGGCTCCTCCTCTGGGGTAGGAGGGTCTCTGTACTTGTTTTTGCTCTTTTTCTTCTTTATAGTTTGGCATCGTTCCTCTTCCATAGACGCCTGGTCATCAACTTCTTCCACTTTCTTCTGCTTTTTCTTTTTCCCAGATTGGACATGTTCTTCTGTGGACTCATCCCGTTCTTCTTCAACCTTCTCTTCCAGGTCTCTTCTCGACTTCCTTTTCTTCTTTGACAGTTCTGAAGGAGCCCAATCTTGGTGGCCACAGAGAAGCTCCTCAACCTTCTCCTCCTCCTCCTCCTTTACTTTCCTCCTCTTCTTCTTCTTCTTCTTTGACAGTCTTGGGTCTTCTGTAGGTGGCCATTGTTGGTGACCATTGAGAAGCTCCTCACTCCCCTCATCCTTCCTCTTTTTCTTCTTTGAGGATCGTACGTCCTCTTGAATACCTCGAGCATGGTCTTCAGGATCTTCAGCCTCTTCCTTGACCGACTCACCAGTAACTTTCCTCTTTTTCTTTGAGGATCGTACGTCCTCTTGCATAGCTCGAGCATGGTCTTCAGCCTCTTCTGTGACCTCCTCACCAGCAACTTTCTTCTTTTTCTTCTTGGAGTACTTTAAGTCTAGAAGTTGGCCGTGGTTGAGTCCTCTGGCTGGGTCTTCCTCTACAGTTTTATTTGAAGAAGCTTCACCACTAAGAACATCCAACAAGTCTTCACTGTCTACATTTCTCTTTGATGTCATGGTGTCTTCTTCTTTCCAAGGAACATGTTCCTCCTGACCATTGGTTCCATCCTCTTCCAATGCTTCATCTTTGACCGTCTTCCTTTTCTTCTTCTTCTTGGGTTGTGTGGTGTTGGATGAGACGTCTTCATTGGCGATAACCGGTCGGCTCTTTTCCTTCTTTCTTCCAGTCTCCGCCTTTGTATCCGAGGACAGCCCTCTGCTAGGCTTCGCGGGTTCTCCACTCGGTTCCTTCTTCCCGTATTTTTCCAGGAAAGTCCTCTCCTGTTCTTCGACTCTTAATAGCTTTGCGCTCATCGTCAGGCCATGCCGAGCTCCCCTATGACAAAAGGAAAATGTGAAATTAGAAACCTTGACAAAGTAACGCTGTAGAGACGAGTGACACCAGCAAACCAAACAGTTCTGTCAGCTTCGGGTCCTTGATGCGGACCCCTCAATACAGCGAGATGAAGGTCTCTCTATACCTCATGCTGGGACCCTTATTATAAGCAGCTATGGCGGCCTCCTCGGCGTGTACAGACCACACAGAATTCTGTCTGCCAAGAAAATTGAAGAGATGGTGCCGGGCAGTATAATAGCATGCGCCGATCCAAATACACCCATCAGTTGTTCTGGAGTCACTGGCCTTCTGCACGGACCAGCGACCTTTTCCACATTAGGTGCCATGTTGATAAGCATTAGACAACCAGCAGGCCAGCGACCAATAGTCCATTGTAGTCTTTGTTTGATTTCAATGTTTGCTCCCCTAGTTGTACCGCTACTGCCGAGTTTAATATTAGATCATAATTAATGAGATAAACTTGCCATTAGTACTTGTATGCATTGGGGCTGATCGGGGGGGGGGGGGGGGGTCTGCAGTGCATGCACGGGTGTTGATCTGAGGGGTCTCAAGTTCGTGCACAGGTGCTGATCGGGGGGGGGGGGGGGGGTCTGCAGTGCATGCACGGGTGTTGATCTGAGGGGTCTCAAGTTCGTGCACAGGTGCTGATCGGGGGGGGGGGGGGGGGTCTGCAGTGCATGCACGGGTGTTGATCTGAGGGGTCTCAAGTTCGTGCACAGGTGCTGATCGGGGGGGGGGGGGGGGGTCTGCAGTGCATGCACGGGTGTTGATCTGAGGGGTCTGCAGTGCGTGCATTGGGGCTGGGCACTTCAAACCTCATATCAGCCCCAATGCACGCACTGCAGACCCCCCAGATCATCCCCAGTGCATGCACTCCAGACCTTAAATCAGGAAAATGCATGCACTCTAGACCCCCAGTGCATGCATTCCGGACTTGAGATCATCTCCAATGTATGCACTCCAGACCCTAGATCTGCCCCCGGAGGAATGCAGAGCACCGCTGTAAGCATGCAGGCGGCCTTCTTCCACAGCCTCTGGTGGGCTTTCAGGGAAACGATTGGGCCAGACTATGTGACAGACCGCCTAGTCAGCTGTTAATGGCAGCGGGTGGCAGCGTAAATGGCAAGAATTGCTTTCCCACCGATCATAAGACTCTTCTATGTACAAAGGACGGACATGACATCAGACATCTCCTATGACCCATCAGTCACTCGGTGTCACAGTTCTCTAATATGACAATATCCGAGATGGCAGCGCCTTACTTGTGAGCGGTGCGCCCCCCACAGATCTTCACAAGGTCGTCATCCGTCAGTCTGTTGGAGAGAAACAAACAAGATATATAACGATTGCTGCACGAGCCGTCTTCTCACACGAGGGGGGGCGGGGGGGCTATGTACACACCATTCACACATTTTATACATGACATTCCATTGGAAGAACGTGTGAATTCTGGGTGAAAGTTGCGTAAAACCATCAATAGACCCTTCACGCTCAGTGTCCATGAACCTTCACATAGCACGTCTCTTCTATGCCCCCTTTTGACCTGTTAAATGCGTTTTGTTGCATCTGTCTGATAAGTGCAAACAACTCCCATGCATCCCGCCAGAAATCCAGTTCCCTTGTAACTTCCTGTAAGGAGCTGACAACACGGAGCCTCTGCTTTGCTCAGAAGTCTGAACTCAGATACAAGTCAAACTTCAGGCATCCCCTTCACTGAGATACCCCATGGTCCATCCACATCTACAGGGACGCAGGCTCTGCGGGGTTCCCCGGCTACAGGGACGCAGGCTCTGCGGGGTTCCCCGGCTCTGCGGGGTCCCCCGGCTACAGGGACGCCGGCTCTGCGGGGTTCCCCTGGCTACAGGGACGCAGGCTCTGCGGGGTTCCCCCGGCTACAGGGACGCAGGCTCTGCGGGGTTCCTGGTTTGCTCAGGTGCTGATAACGAGGACAGACCTCCCAATCAGTCTGAGGCCTTGTTCACACCAAATGCAGAGCAGATCCGGTCAGGTTTCTGCACACGCACGCTAGTCTTTTAGATGCGTCTTTGATGCGTTTTTAGTTTAACATGGGCTTTCAGTGCGTTCCAGGCATTTGCATGCGTTTTTGATGCGTATGCCGATCCAGAGCAGGTAAAATAGGGCTTGCTGCAGTTTTTTTTTACCCGCTCCGGATCTGAACGCTGCGACGTGAACTGGAGCCCAAAATACCATCGGAATACATTGGACGCAGTTTTGTTCCGGTCTGCACCTGCTCCGCTCTGGACCCGCTCCGCGCTCGGTGTGAACATATCTGGGCCAGGTTCATACGGTTTGGCGCTTCCAACAAGCACTGAGTTTGACCCATGCAGCTCCTTCCACCAGGGCCCCAGGGTCATACTCATCCTGTTGAGTTCTCCATAATGTAATAGAACATTACCCCACCTAGGAGCCCATAGCATGTGGGAGGAGCTTAGAGGCGGGGTAGAGAGGATCTCTACAAGAGTTGCTCAATGGGGTTCCACCTACTTGGTAGCAGAGGACAGATCCAGCTTCTCATCCTCGTCCTCACTGCTGTCTGAAGAAGAAGATTCCTTTTCCACCGGCTTCTCTCCTCCCGATAGCAAGGTGGCAGACTGCAAACAGGGAACAAAAACCGAATGTCAGGAACCTACCAAGAAAGTATCCGCCGCTAAGGGGGTGGGCCTTCTGAGAGGGTTAGGGGCGAGTCATTGACCTATCCGTTGCACTGGTCATATTGCCATGGCCCCATTGGGGCGAGTCTATCCCCGAGATCTCTGCCGATGGTTTCCAATGAAACTGAAGGAAAGGGTCAACGTGGCAGCCAAGGAATGGTCAACGATTGAGGCCGTGTATAGGGACAAGGTGAGACTTCCTTCTTACCCAGCATAGTGACTGCCCTTCACCTCAACCAGGACGTCGTTCTTCTGCTGACTGGTCAATGGTTCCTCACTATAGGGGGCCCATAGGAAAGGAGGCTTCTGGTTGGTGTGAAGAGCGATCCAAACCTCCTTTGAACATACACGGGGCCCATTTTGCCATGTTTAGAGTATTCAGGTAGCCACTCCCCTAACCGAGGCTCCTCCCCATCTTTTTGAAGGTGACCGCAAGCCGTTCTACTGCAAGAAAAGGAGGTGAGGGGTCTTTCACTGAATGAGGGCGGAGCTTACTTTTATAAAGCGTCCGTACAGCATGTCCCGATTGGTAAGTGCTTTACGGGGCTTCTTGTTCGTCACCGCGGAGTTGTCGTCGTCTGTGACTTTCTTCACCTGAACTCCATCCTGCCCGAAAAACACCCCAAAAAGAAAATGGAGGTTATTCATTCATTTAAAAAAATGATATTTCAACCAGTTGACTTTGGGCCGTACGGTGTACGTCCCAAGAAACGTCAACAAAGTGCCTTGGGCGTACCTCGTGTGCCGGCAATCCCCGGCAGTCCCATTGGGTGAATCTCCCCAGTGGTAAGTAATAACAACCAGGAAATAGTTGGACCACCCCTTTCTGTATGTTGTAGGGGGAGGGGGGGTCGCTCCTTACCTGATCCGGCTCCACGGAGATGCTGGAGGCGGTTTTGTTGAAGACGTGATCCCACCAATGGAAGGTAAACTGCTCCGCCGAATTGTGACCCACCTACAGGGAAGAAACCCAAACACCGGCGCGTCACAAACCTGGCCGGACATACCACAAGCACAATGACACAGGGAGACCCCAGTGAGAAGCAGACATCAAGTGTGGTCATGTGGAGCCCGGCCTATCCGCTCACCACACCATCTCCCC